ATGTAAATATAACATCAGTCACCATCTACTGTCTTGTTGAATCCCGTTCATCTTTTCTCCATTCCCCAATCCTCCCTATTCTAAGTTTTCTCTTTCACTTTTACTCCATGTAACCCCTGCTTACTAGTGACATTCCCAAGGTAAATCATTAATATATATATATATATATATATATATATATATATATATATAATAATATATATATATATAATAAAATGGTTAAGTCCTACAATTTAATTTTTAAGATATTGTCTGTTTATACGTTATTTTTTATAGATACAATTTATTTAAGCAAAATCTTTGTTTTTAATTAAATATTATTAATTACATTTAACCGCCTGAATGTTCGAGAAATTTCGTAGTAAATATGCGTTCTCCGACAGGAATCGAACCTGTATTCCTATACTGAAACCGTCATTTGATCTGACGTGCTATACCATTTAGCTACAGAGAAGTGTCTGATTAGCAAAGTCCAAATGACTGTTTGCAAACGCAATCTTAAATAAATTGTATCTATAAAAAATAACGTATAAATAAATATATATATATATATATATATATATATATATATATATATATATATATATATATATATTGATTTTTCATTAAATAATATAGACAAGTTGTGTTTATTTATTTTAAGTAAGTTCCTTTCTGTCTGATAAGCTTAATAACATTATCATTGAAAGACGAAAGGAAGTCGACACATTGATACATGTTTAAATCCGATCTAAGCTTTCCGCTTACATAAGCCATTATCAAAGATTACAAAGGTAACTATACTCGTTTCGAAAAACCTTCGAATTTTTTGATTTGCCAATAATCAAATCAATCTCGAAGGAAAAAAGGTTTTAAAAAAGAGAAAGAGCCAGGAACATGAAAGTCTGTCGAAAAAATCCTTTTGATACAGGTTTGAAGCCCAAAGAAAAAACCCCCCACACGAGTAAACAACTAACTAAAAAGAGCTCAATACAACCGTAGAGGAGACCTAGATAAACCTACTGAGCCAGACAGACCTACCCAGGTTTCGTCAGGGAAACTGGCTTATATATATATATATATATATATATATATATATATATATATATATAGTCATTTAATTTCCCATATAACTGTATAGCAACATTTTCATCTTAGAAATGACGGCACAAAACTATTTTCTGAAAGATGTCCGTTTTATTTTACACAGCATAAAACTACGTCAAGTTTTCAAATATTTAAGAATTTTGTTTTTATTTGGGATCGAAGACAGCGAATATTTAAATGTCTAACGGATTTTTCCCTTTTTTCTTATCAGTTTTCTTTTTCCTGTAACTGTTAAAGCTTTATTATGTTCATCAATTTATGTCTTCGCCATTTGCTTGCCATTGGTTCTCTTTTGTTTATTTCCATTCTTCTCCAACAGCCGACCTCAGCCTTCTCATAAGCCGTCTAGATAGCTCCAATGACACCACCAACGCTACTTTTTCTGTTTCGCTTAATTCTTTTCTTTGCCATCAAACCTCGCGAACCTTCCAACCTATTAACGATCCCAGACTAATTAAAAACTCATAAAACTTACGCGAATTCTTCGTTTTCCGCTTTAGTTATTTTTTTTTTGTATTGACTGTTCTTCTTAATTTTTTTTAATCTTCGTTATTTTTGTCCGTCTTTCTTTCTTCTTAAATGTTCAAATACGTTTACGTTAATTTTATTCTCAGATTCGTGGACAGCCAACCGTTGACAGACATTAATCGTTTCGAAGACACAGGATGGGACAGTCGAGAAGAAAAGAAGACAGTAATGGAGGAAAAAAAAGGAAAAGTCATCAGCTGCAGCAGCCACAGCAGCAGCAGCAACAGACGAAGAAGAAGGAGGAGGGGAAGAAGAAGGAGGAGGGGAAGAAGAAGGAGGAGGGGAAGAGGAGGAGAAGAAGAAGAAGGAGGAGGGGGATGAAGAGGAGGAGAAGAACGATGACAAAGAAGAAGAAATTATGAAAAAGATAGACCAAAGATGAGAACGACAGACATTTTGACAAATGTAAATTCAGAGAAATAGATATGAGATGGCCGAGACACAGGCGGAAAATTAACAGCCGTTGTAAACAACTGTAAGAAAGTAATTGTACAAGACATTAATTTATGTGCGAAGGGTACGCTGAGAAATTTTGTTCGAAAAGAGAAAACAATTGTAAAAATGTTTTAACAAAAACATCTGAGATGTTAAACTAAACACATTACCAAGTACGTTCCAGACATGTCTACTCACATACAAAATTGTATTCCATATAACACGCACATCCATATCTCACCAAAACAAAAATGGCTAAAAAGCCGGCTTGTATTTTATATGTGCAGGAGTAATGGATAGCGGCTTGGATTGAGGAATCGGAGAGCCGAGTTCGAATTCCAGTCGAATCCATTTACTTACGTGCTATCATCTTCTTCTTCCCCCAGCTATGGGTAAATAGCAAGACAGACTGGGATCTATAGCCTTGGATACGGAAACTGGTCTAGGAAAA